TTTTTTAAGACGGGGTTTCACCATGTTGATCAGACTGGTCTTGAACTCCCGACCTCAGGTGATCCGCCTGCCTTGGCCTCCAAAGTGCTTGGATTACAGGCGTGAGCCACCATGCCCAGCCAATCTGAACTTTTGTGTAAATCTTCTAATTTTTTCAACATAAGCAACCAATAAAGCTTTTGAGACAGGGTCTCACTCCATTGCCCCGGCTGGGGTGCAGTAGCGTGATCTCAACCAACAGCAACATCCACCTCCCAGGTTCAAGCAATCCTCTCACTTCAACTTCCTGAGTAGTTGGGACTACAGGCATGTGTGCCGCCATCCCCAGCTAATTTTTCCATTTTTTGTAGAGACAGGGTTTTGCCATGTTGCCCAGGCTGGCTTTGAACTACTGGGCTCAAGTGATCCACCTGCCTCAGCCTCCCAAAGTACTGGGAATACAGGCATGAATGGTCACACCTAGCCCTAACTAATAAAACTTTGTATGTAGGTAACTAATGAAAACAATTTTGTTTTAACACTGTCTGGTCCAAGTCTTGCAGACCCAACAAAACACATCTGAGGGCAAAATTCAGGACACTAAATTAACAACTTAAGACATTTAATCCTCATGACCAACCCTGTAACAAACTAGTTTATTCCTGACATTTTAAAAGTAAAGAAACTGAATCTGCAAGAAGTAAAGTTACTTGTCCAAGGTCACAAAATAGAAAGTTATGAGGCGGGGGGTGTTAGGATTTGAATCCAAGCAGTCTTACTCCAAAGCCTAAGCTCCTAACCACCTGTTGTACATATAACAAGATACACAGAAGGTACAGAAGCAAGCTCTACGCTATGTATCCACACGGAAAACGATAGAGCCAGAGGGTAAATAAACAAATAAATAAATGGAAAACAAGATGGATTGTCTGACAAATCCAGAACATATCAGGACCACGTTCTCTTTCCTTCGGTATTATACATTTCCCTGACAATGCCCAAAAAAGTATTAGCCTTTTTATTGGTGACATTAAAGTGTGATTCATAATGAGAATGGCCTTACTGTTATTTATATAACTAAAACCCAAGTCTTTTTTTTTTTTTAACCCCAGGTCTTTTTGAGAGGAAGGATACTATTGTTGGCTTGAGAAATCAGAAACAGTCCTAGGACAGGACTGTGTCCTATGAAAGACACAGTACACATGTTAAGTATTTACACATGCAAATATTTGAGAAAATGTTTGAGCGACACTTTAGTCCTTTTTTTTTCTTTAGAGACAGAGTCTTTCTCTGTTACCCAGACTGGAGTGCAGTGGCATGATCACAGATCATTGCAGCCTCAAACCCCTGAGCTCAAGGGATCCTCTTGCCTCATCCTCCTGAGTAGATGAGACCACCATCACGGTCTCAGTAGGCACACTCCACTATGCCTGCCTGATTTTTAAAAAACTTTTTCTGTAGAGACAGTGTCTTACCATCTTGTGCAGCTCAGTCTCGAACTCCTGGCTTCCAATGATCCTCCCCTCACAGAAGTGCTGAAATTAACAGGTGTGAGCTACCATGTTCAGCCTATTTTAGTCTTTCCTAAACTCACAGAGAAAAGGAACTCTGCATAAAACGATCTAAAATATTATTGGGCCAGGCATGGTAAGCTCACACCTCTAATCCTAGCACTTTGGGAGGCCAAGGCAGGTGGATCACCTGAGCTCAGGAGTTCGAGACCAGCCTGGCCAACATGGTAAAATCCTGTCTTTACTAAAAATACTAAATATTGCTCGGGTGTGGTGGTGGGTGCCTGTAATCCCCGTTACTCTGAAGGCTAAGGAAAGAAAATCACTTGAACCTGGGAGGCAGAGGTTGCAGTGAGCCAAGATCGCACCATTACACTCTAGCCTGGGCAACAAGAGTGAAACTTCGTCTCAAAAAATAAAATAAAATAAAAACCATTGACTGAATGGAGGACTTTTAGACCTCTATAAGGATTGACCAGATTTTTAACTATGGTGCTAATTTGGCTCAAATCTGTTTACAACGAAGTAAGTTCCCTGAGAAGACACGGCAACATCCTCCCCCACAACTCTTCTTTCTAACTTACGCAAGGTAGGTGCCTCTGGTGTTCACACTCATCATCAAATCCATTCTCTTGGTAGGTGTTTCCAATGTGTTGGTCAAGCTAATGGCACTGGCATTATTTACCAAAATATCAATTCCTGTTTTAAAAATAATCAATTTCATTTTTAAGACTTTTTATCACACACACAAAAAAGCACTTACTCTCTTTTGAACCCTTAGTTGATTTACAAATACAGTCATGTACCACACGTAACATTTTAGTCAACAATGAACCGTATACACAACATGGTCCCTTAAGATTATAATACTATACTTTTATTCTATCTTTTTTCTGTCTAGATATGTTCAGATACATACTCACCATTGTGTTACAAATGCCTACAGTACAGAAACATGTTAGACAGGTTTGTAGCCTGGAAGCAATAGACTATCTAGGTTTGTGTAGATACACTTTATGTTCACACGATCTTGAAATTGCCTAATAATGCCTTTCTTAGAACACATCACCATCATTAAGCAATGTGTGACTATACTTCTTTTAGATAATATGACTGACCACATACCAGTGCAAGACTGGTAGCTGTTTCAAAATAGCACCTGCATGACTGTCACTAGCACAATGGAGATATAGCCAATCGCCAGAACTCCATGTGAAACAACACGGAGGCTTAGTTTTTAGTGGTTTGTAACATCCACCCTTATCCATTCTCTTACCTCCTGGTTGTCCTCTGTCTCCATAAACTTCAGATAAAATTCCTTAAAGTTTTTCTTCCTCTCTAGCATAAAGTTCAAAGGCCTGTCCTCCTTCCAAGCATAGTGGTCCCCCTTCCCCCAAGACTCCTGACTTAAAAGGAAAGGTTCCTTTCTGGTTTTGGGAACTGGGAAAAAAGAAAGACCTACTGTTTCAATCCCAGGCAAATCATCAAAGTGGATCTATTTTGTTTTAGTGGCTCATACGCACACATACACAAAATAAATCTAGAGTAACTACTATTTCTGCAAATTCTATCAGTTTCTACCTATAAGCAACATGTTTTGTTTATAGTTATATGCTTAGTGAAATAACATTAAAAGAAAATGGTAAAATACAAAAACTATGTCAAACATTTTTCTTTGCTTCTACCTGGTCTTCACTAGTCTTTGTAAAGTACACTTAATGATGGTTGTATAACAATATAATACACTTGGTTGCCATTGAACTGTAGACTTAAAAATAGTTAGGATGGTAAATTTTATGTTATGTATATTTCACCACAATTTTAAAAAATTAAATACTAAATGCAAGGCTGGGCACAGTGGCTCATGCCTGTAATCCTAGCACTTTGGGAAGCTGAGGCAGGTAGATCCCTTGAGGTCAGGAGTTTGAGACCAGCCTGGTCCACATGGTGAAACCCCATCTCTACTAAAAATAGAAAAATTAGCTAGGCCTGGTGGCAGGCGCCTGTAGTCCCAGCTACTCAGGAGGCTGAGGTTGGAGGATCACCTGAGCCCAGGAGGTCAAGGCTACAGTGAGCCACAATCATGCCACTGCACTCCAGTCTGGGTAACAGAGCGAGAGCCTGTCTCAAAAAGAAAAGAAAAGAAAGAACTAAAACTGAATGAATATGGGAGAATGAAAAGCCTCAGCTTTCTCCCCTTAGTTCCTCCCTAAAAACTAGTGGATAAACTAATTACATCAAATCCTAAGTGGCACTAGTTAACCACTTTTAATACTAGGTGATGCTATTTTAGATAAAATATCCTGCATTTGAGTACGGCACACTTTACATTTAGGGCCCTGTCAGTTCGACAAAGCATAATTTTGCATTTTCTCTCCTCTTCTCACACAGGCATTCACATTACTTTGGGAAAGGCTGCTGGCTAGGGGTAAGATTTTGGATTTAAGGGAAGAGGCTCCACTTGAGCCAAAGCTCTGTGCTTCAGTCCAGGACCCCACAGCACTGTGCACTGGGATTACAAGCACGGCCTTGCTAACACTAAAGCACTATTACCTCATTTTTCTGCTGGCCAGTGTCCCTCATATGTGCATATGGTCCTCCGGAATATTAGCAGGGAGAGTGGTAATGGTTTAAGCAGGACTTGAACATGCCTAGATGCCCTACTATGATACCATGAAACTCTTAGCGCAATCCCCAACACCTCCCTTCTAGAACTTGTGAACTAATTGGGGAGAAAACAAATACTAAGATCTAAAATACTATAAGATAAGGATCAAAGGAATGTTTTAAGAAATCAGAGAAAGAAAAATACACTTCTGATTAGTTGACATGGTGAGGGAACTTTGTGAAGAATGAGATTTCAGCATATAAAGGAAGAACTTTTTCAAAAATAAATGTATAAGGTACAAGTGCATTTTCTCACATATATAGATTGTGAAGTGTCCAGGACTTTTTAGGGTATCCATCACCCAAACAGCAAACATCATACCCATTAAGTAATTTCTATTCATCCATCTGCTTCCGTCCCTTGTTTCTTCCTAGTCTCCACTGTCTATCATTCCATACTCTCTTTTTTTTTTTTGAGACGGAGTCTTGCTCTGTCACCCAGGCTGGAGTGCAGTGGTACAATCTCAGCTCACTGCAACCTTCACTTCACAGGTTCAAACAATTCTCCCACCTCAGCCTCCAGAGTATCTGGGATTATAGGCGTCTGCCACCACGCCCAGCTAATTTTTGTATTTGTAGTAAAGATGGATGTTGACCAGGCTGGTCTCAAACTCCTGACCTCAAGCGATCCGCCCACATTGGCCTCTCAAAGTGCTAGGATTACAGGCATGAGCCACCAGACCCAGCCTCATCGGTGGTTTTAAACCGTGTTCTACATGAGCAAATACATATTACTCCAAAGACTCAGAAAATTCAAAAATCAAAACAAATTTTAAAATTAACATTATAGTTATACCTTTATTTTACCAATATTCAATAATTTTGTCAGAATGAAAGTATTACCTCCAAATTTCTCAACTGCTTTCTCTACTGCATCACTGATTTGCTGTTCATCTCTCACATCAACAATACATGGCAAGGCCTTTCCTCCAACTGCTTCAACTATAAAGGATACAAAACCAAAAAGTGTTAAAGCATTTAAATATTATACTTTCTTTTTTATTTTTATTTTATTTTTTATTAAAAGACGAGGTTTCACCATGTTGGTCAGGCTGGTCTTGAACTCTCGGCCTCAGGTGATCCGCCCGCCTTGGCCTCCAAAGTGCTTGGATTACAGGTGTAAGCCACTACGCCGGCCTAAATATTATACCTTTCATTCCAATGACACAGTCAAAAGAAAAAGTACCCTGTTTCAGAAAATCAATATAAATAACTCTATCTTACCACCAGTGACTCTACCATATAGTAGGACAGACTAGCTAGGCCAATACTATTAAAAAACAAAAGCAAAGGTTTCCTAGGGGTTTCCTTGTATTTTTTTTTTTTAAAAAAGCTAAGGCCGGGCGCGGTGGCTCAAGCCTGTAATCCCAGCACTTTGGGAGGCCGAGGC